AAAAAAAAAAAAAAAGTTTTTGTCTTTATAAAGGGATACTACTATAAGCCGTGACAGTTAGTCTTTTTAACATCAACTACCATACCTAAACATTGAAACAGAAAAATATCCACATTATTCAAAAACACATCCAAAGAATGATTTTTTAAAAAATACCCATTATTATTAAAAAAAATAGAAGTTTAACACACAAACATGTCAGCTCTGCCAGGTGATGTGGAGAAACCCTCAAAACTGTTCTTCAATTTCAAATCAAACTATTATCTGAAGTATTTTTAATAGCTCCAGTTTGCAAAGAGGCAAATGTTGCTTTATGGAATATATGTCATTGAGCAAAAGACTAATAAAGGAAAAAGTACAGCTAACAGATCCTGCAAGTCCCCTACTGGTAATCTCCAATAAAACTAAAACAAAGGCCGGGGTGGTGGCTCATGCCTGTATTCCCACCACTTTGGGAGGCCAAGGCAGGCAGATCACTTGAGCCCAAGAGTTCAAGACCAGTCTGGGTAAAATGGTAAAATCCCATCTCTCCCAAAAATACAAAAAAAAAAAAGAAAGCCAGGTGTGATGGTGCACACTTGTGGTCCTAGCTACCCAGGAGGCTGAGGTGGGAGATCGCTAGAGCCCGCGAGACAGAGGCTGCAGTAAAATGAGATCACACTGTGCACTCCAGCTGGGCAAAAGAGTGAGAACCCTGTCTCACAAAAGAAAGAAATTAAAATAAAGAGTTACCTCTATTGTAGGAAGACAGACTACCTCCCGCTGGGGAAGCTGAGTAGTTTCATGATAGGGTGGTATCTCTGCCAAGCCTTGAAAAAGCGGCAGGGTCTGTACATGCAGGTGTGATAAGAAAATTCCAAATGCAGAGAAAAGACCACAGGCACCATGGAGAAAGAGGAATATATGTAAAAGTATACCTGACAGACAGCATATTAGCATTTAGGAGTAGAGAGTATAGTATTTGATGTGCCAAGCAGAGGTTAGGAATTTAGGAAGTGACAGCCATTAATGATCACCAGCAGTCTTTTCTAGGATTTCTCTCAATTTCATAGATACTCTTCTCTAGATACAAGCTACATCTCTCTCTCACTATAGAATTCCAGAACTCAAGAATTTGAGGCACAAGTATCTCTGAAGGCAAAGAATAAAATAAGTTTTGAAATAGGAAAACTATTTGAAACTCATAATAAATAATCAGACCCACCTAGAATGACTCCCTTAGAGACAGAAAACCAGGGATTGACTCTCTTGAAAGGCTGAACCAAAAGTAATCAGAACTTGTTGCACCAGGCACAGATGTTCATGGAAATGAAGCATCAAGATGAAAACAAGATTAAAGTGAAACTTAACATCACCCTCATGCCTTTCCTACTTGGTTTCAAGATGCTAACAATCAGACTCCTTCTCTGGCATAATACTGGAATGTTCTTCTCTGATTTCTCCTAATGAAAACTCCTACTGAGACTTACATTGGGAGTCCCAATTGGATGACACGTCCCATGCAAAATTATAAAAAAGTCCTTAATTATAGAGCATCACCCAAATAAAATATAAAGGCAGAGCCAAAGAATACCCACATTTAAGGAAAGCCAACATGAAAGAAAAAGCTCGGAGGAAACAAAGACATTGTCAAAATAACTACAATAGATATCCTAAGAGAAATAAAAGATCTTGCATCTTAAACATGAATAGGAAGCTTTCCAAAGAAATACACTAAGACTTCTTGAAATTCTACAAGACCATAGAAGTTGCCAATATCATACAATAATTGGGAGATCAAGTTAAGGCACTCTCATAGAAAGTGAAAGACAGGAGAACATATAAACAAAAAAAGGCAAAAGATAAAACTAGAAGATCAGTCCCAGCAGTCCAGCATCCAAATAATAGGAGTTTCCAAAGGAGAAAACATTTAACAAAAGGGATGAAATTATGAAAGAAACATAAGAGGGCACTAAGTGCCTTGCATGGTAAGTGAAAAACCCAAAACAAGTTATATCATCTTGAAATTAAAAACATTAGGCATAAAAAGATCAGAAAGACTTCCAAAAGGAAATATGATAATCAGGTTTTAAACAAAAGAGAAATCTAAATGGAACTAGACTTAGTGGCGGTACTTGAAGCTAGAAAACAATGCCTTTAAATTCTGCACTAAAATATTCCCAGCCTAGAATTCTATAACCAAAACTATCAAACCAGTGTGGAGGTAAAACAAAAATATTTTCAGATGTGTAGGGCTTCCTCAGGTTTTGGATTATTAAAATGACGGCTTAAACCAAGAAAGAACAGCACATGGGACCCAGGAAACAGGAGGTCTAAATAAAAAGAGAGCCAAGGAAATCCCTAAAAGTATATATTGGAGCAGGAAGACAGCACCAGATAAGATGTCTCCCAAAAACCCAACTGAAACTTGATGTGCTATGTTTTAAATCTTTTGAGAGGAACTCTACAGCTCTGGCCCAGAGCACAGGAATAAATTAGTAGTACATGGAAAGCTATGTAAAAGAAAAATGCTATTAACTGCAGGAAAATTAAAAAAAATGCCAACAGAATAAATGTAATCATAATTTACTTCACAATCTGGCTGTAAACAATAGAGAGTCATAAATGTAAACCCTGAATATTGACTTAACCAAAAATTATTATATAAATATACTAGGAAGATGGGAGAAGGAGAATTTTACATGCCTGTTGTTGAGAAGGGTGTGGTAAGAAAGCTAAATCATCTTCCCTCATGGGAAGTCAATACATAACACATCTTAAAACTGGCATAGTAAAAGTAAATACTGTAGCATGCAAAGGTCTTTTTAGAAATAGAGAGGTAACATAAAAATTAAACACGGCTGCAAGAACAGAGGACTGCAGGTTTTAAGACAGGGGTAGAGAAGACTAATGTTTTTTATTAGAGTTTTTGTTATTTGCTTTTAACTAGAGAAAATTATTAAATTTTTAAAAATTACCAAAAAAGCAATGTAATTAACTGCCAAACTTTTCACTCACCCTGGCAGTAATTGTTCCGTGCTTTTCTCCTCTGTTGTTTATCATCCGAATCCCAGCCGACTGAAACATCTCCTTCATTTGAATAGGGGTAGCAGTGGTGGCAAAATCTACATCCTGAGGCTTTACTCCATTTAATAAATCCCTCACTGCTCCTCCTGCTATTCTTAATTCATGATTCTCTTTGACAAATAATTCTGAAATGAGAGAAAAAAGATCTTTATTCAAAAGATCTTTATTTCAATGTTTATTTTGAGAACCACAAAAGTACAAGGCTTTTCCATCTAGTTAGAACAGCAGAGATTCAGTTAACTGAGGTTTTTCATATGAAAAATGAGAACAAGGCCCGAAGAAGTAAAAAGACTTGCTTGCAGGAGAATGTCTCTGAGGACCACAGGAAACAAGGAACTTTTACAGAGTTTTTCTTTGCTTATTCAGAAGATAATTCAGAATTCCAAGATGCCTCAAAAGTGATCAATATAAATTTGAACTACTACTAAAGCCTAAAGCAGGCCAGGTGCAGTGGCTCACAATACTTTGGGAAGCTGAGGCGAAAGGACCACTTGAGCCCAGGAGATCAAGACCAGCCTGAGCAAACAGCGAGACCCTGTCTCTACAAAAAATAAGAAGAGCCAGGTTCAGTGGTGCACACTAGTGGCAGCAGTCCCAGCTACTTGGGAGGCTGAGGTGGGAGAATGGCTTGAGCCCAGGAGTTCAAGACTGCAGAAAGCTAAGATCGTGCCACTATACTTCCACCTGGGTGACAGAGCAAGACCTTATCTCAAAAAAAAAAAAAATATGTAAATCAAACAATTCTGCTTTTTTCCCCAGTTATGTGCATATTTTAGAAACGGCAACATGTTCTTTTATTTCTCTGTTCCCAGATAGATGCGGAGGCAGAATATTCATGCATGAAACTATGGAACTATCAGACAACATTGGTCTATCATACCACTTATGATAAATGTTTATAAATAAGAATCCTTCAAAAATTATTCTAAAATCAACTCCTATCTGTGCTCTAGGTAGAACCATTTGAACACTGGAACGACTGACTATAAGCAACTACATAGCTGGCTCCTCTACGTGTAACGGAGAAGACAAAGTCCACTATGAGTTTATCTATATGCCCAAAGGACACCATATGCAACCTAGTGAAAATGACATCCAGGAGCTGGCCTCCCACAAAATTAGATGCTGGGGTTCTGTGGAACAGAAACAATTTCACAGAAAATCAGTATCAGACAAGCCCATTCTGTGACCATGATGGATCATCAAGACAACTCTGTAATCACCTAAACATATACAATACATGAACACTGTCCATGATACACCCTACAATAGTTGATAAGAGTGATTCTGTCTTACCAATTAGTTTTAGTCTCACACTGTACTCAACTTCTAGGAAAGCATTATTAAGACACCAATCACAGAATTACTTCTGCTTTCTGAGAGCATCTAACCCACTGCAAAGCTCTACTACCTTAAACCCTCTCCAAAAGGACCCAATACAAGCCCAACTCCTGTAAGAAATCCTTTCTACAGTCCTCTTACTGAGTATACATATGCTACTCCTCACTCAGCATGTTGCTCCTCACTGCCAAGACTAACAACCCAACTTGTCTCCCTGTTGGCCTTTGGCTAGAGGACAGTGACATGAGCATTCACCTAAATTCATCATACATCAGAATTCTGACACCCCTAATCACAACTAAAAACATAATCCTCCATCCCTACCTCAACGTCTCTGTCCTGTCCACACTCCTCTTCTACCTACTCTTCCCAAATCTTTCAGTCTCACTCTCTGTAGGCTCCTTAAAATGCTTAAAAATAACAAATGCTCCCTCCCTCTACCCTCTGGCCTTAATTAAGGATATCTTTTCCACGAGCTTTCCCCAAGGCGAAGTGTTCATATTCCCTTAATGCCACATTTTCCATCAAGGCTCACTTCCAGAACCACATCACCTCCCTTAAATCCAGCCTCCACCATCCAGACTTAGGGATCTAAAACACCAGGTTAATTATGCTATGTATTAACTGCTCCTAACAACTACTCACAACACGGTACCCAAACTCCTCAGTGCTATATCCAAAGGCTTCCATAATAACATATTTGTCTCACCTCTTGCTAAACCCTGTATCACACTTTGCACCAAACTGTCCCTGTAGCTTTCCTCCATAATTATGCTTGTGTGAGTAACTTTAGTGAAACACCTCCCTAACTTACTCATCTAGTTCAGTGGCTGGCTGTGACACTTCTTGGCCCATAACCCACACTAAGACACTCACATAGCAGTCACTGAAACTTGTATGGCTACCATGCAATCTATTCTATTCTCTCGTCTCTTTTTTTTAAATACTGGTCATAACCACTAAATTGACTTTATGGCCCACTAAGGGGTAACTACCCAGTTGGAAAACACTGATCTAGCTCACTCTTACTTATCTGCTGTGATTCACTTTAATAAGCCTCTCCTGAAGGTGAGGTTAAGTGAATTTCTTCTAAGCTACTAGTATAGCACATCTTTATACATACCAATTATGTTAAAATTACCTGTTTTATGTCTTTGTCTCCCCACTTGTCAAGGGGAGACTATCTTATTCATCATTATACCAATTTGGCTCATAATTAAACTGAATTGTGATATTCTAGCTATAAAAAAAAAAAAAGACTAGACTGGAAAGTATTGGGTTTTTTTCTTTTTTTAGGTTTTCTTCCTTCAAATTAAAATAGTATCAAGTAGCTGTTCTGAAATTCAAGCAAATAAAGGGCAAGTTTTATGTTCATTTGAACCCACTTAAAATAGGATGAAGAAGGTCAAGGCTGAATTTATATAGATAACTACTGTTTTAAGATTCTACTGCTGTCTTTACTAAAATAAAATGCTAAGTTCAATGTTACTTGGTAACTTAATTACATTACAAAGAGATCCAGAACTCCAAGTAATATATTCACCATTTTGATTAGCCTTATTTTATTAAACCACTCTGAAAAACTTACCATTCAGGATTTTTAAAATAACATTTCATACACCTGAGAAAGACATATCAAGGCATATTTATCTGTCTCTATGAAAGAGTAGTCATAAAAACTATAAGAAAAGCAAAATTTCACATTGGCCTAAAACAGCAGGTACTATGAAGCTAAAAGATTTCTTTATTCCTCTGTTACTGTTATCTTCAATCTTACAGAAATAGGAATGCAGTCAACATTTCAAAAGACTATGCAAGATACATTCATTGAAATAATTCAGTGAAAATAACACCTAAGGCAACTAAATTTAACTGTAAACTCAAGCCTAAAAGTCAAGAAATGCAGAATCTCATCATTCCCAAACTGTTTATTTGCTCCAAAAGCCACATCTGATAGTAATTGTTATTCTTCTCAACAATTCAAAAGACCATATATTGATGTGTCAGAAAACTTTTATAATTGTCACCTCTTTTTAATGTTAACTTTCAATTTTCATGAACTTGCTCCCTTTACAACTCTGAATTTTGACAACTGGATGCTAGGGTAGGGTAGGGGGCAGTGAGTGGGAGCTATGAGTGGGAAGTCATGGCATGACCATTACTACAGGAAAACAGACCATCTGTTTTAAGAGCTCCGGACTTCAAGAGAGTGATCAGTTGTTTCTATTACGCTAAACTTTAATATGATGGCTTTCTGACATAACACTGACTGGCTATCATGAGTCATGGACAATAGCCAAGGGACCAAAGAAGTCCCTGCTCATCTACTAGTGCTATTAATTCAAGCAAAAATCATCTACATTGGGAACTTCAGCCTCATCTCTAGGACAAAAAACTTATTTTTTGAAAGACGGTCTCACTCTGTCATCCAGGCTGGAGTACAGTGACGACATCACAGCTCACTGTGCAGTCTTAACCCCGAGTGCAAGGAACCCCCTGCGTCAGCCTCCTGAGTAGCTGGGACTACAGGTGTGCATCACCGTAACTGGCTAAATTGTTTATTATTATTATTATTTGTAGAAATGGGATCTCACTATGTTGCTCAGGCTGGTGGCCTCAAGCAATCTTCCACCTTGGCCTCCCAAAGTGCTGGAATTTTAGGCACGAGATACCGCAGCCAGCTGAGAAATAATAATATATGCCACTAGTATATGATTGTACTGAAGCAAAAAGATAAATAAAATAACCTGGCAAATTATAAAACCCTTATGATATGACAATAATACACTATTCTAGCCTCTCATATTCTTGCAAACTGCAAACTAATTTTACACATGGCAAAGCAGCTATTAAGATTTGAGAATTGCTACAGTAAGATTTAAACTCCAAGTATGGCTATACAGCAGCCATCACAAAGGCTGTGTGTTTTTGTATGTTTTGTTTTTATACAGAACATTACATTTTACCAGGGCACCCAAGTCTCTGATATTCTAACTTGTTGATGATTGCACTAAAAGATTCCATTCTTGCCATTTCTCCAGCAGCCTAGGAAAAGTCAGCTTTAGAATATATCCATGCTCATTTGCCAGGCCTCGAAGGACAGGACTCTGGAAGCAACACTACCTCTACCTTACCATACCATTTACTCTGTTACTTCCTTAGGATCTCATTTCTCAGGATGGAGAAAATCCAGTTATTTCTAATCCAGGATTAAAAATCCAGTTATTTCTAATCCAGGATTAAAAAGTTAAACACAATTGTTAAAATGATGTTCAAGAAACTATAGTAATCAACATCTACAACCGTATTTCCAAAAAATGCTTTTCTTTTCTTTCTTCTAAGAGGCCTCTTGCAACTTGAAAAATTTGGGGTGGTGAATGGCATACACAGGAAGAAAAAACCTCCAACTCAATCCAAGATCAGAGCTTCAAAATCTGCACTATTCAAACAGTAGCCACGTGTGCTTACCAAGCACTTAAAGTGTGGTAAGTCTGAATTCAAACGTGCTGTATGTGTTAAATGCACATAGATTTCAAAGACTTCCAAATATGAAATATCTCATTAATAATTTTGTTTTTGAGACACAGTCTGTGTCACCCAGGTTGGAGTGCAATGGCACAATCTCGGCTCACTGCAGCCCCCACCTCCCAGGTTCAAGTGATCCTCCCACCTCAGCCTCCCTAGCAGCAGGAACTACAGACACATACCACTATGCCTGCCTATTTTTTTGTATTTTTAGTAGAGATGGGGTTTCACTGTGTTGTCCAGGCTGGTCTTGAACCTCTGGGCTCAAGCAATCCACCCACCTCCGCCACTCAAAATGCTGGAATCACAGGCCTGAGTCACTGCGACCAGCCTCCCAAAGTGCTAGGATTACAGGTGGGAGCCACTGTGCCTGGCCTCAATAACAATTTTTAGGCAAAGTTTATACTGATAGTATCTTAGATATATTGGATTAAAATAGATGTACTAAAAATAATTATTAAAATTTATTTCACCATTTCATCTTTTTAATGTGGTTAATAGAAAAGTTTATATTACATATGGGCTCATAAATTTCTATTGAACAGTGAGTTTTTAGCAATTTTCACTCTTTCCAATTAAAAAAGAGTGAAGCATCAGCATAACCAAACCTGCATTTAAGCCCTCTACTTAAAGTCTACCTAAAACAACCTAAAAGAATCAACATGTCTGGGCCGTTTATCTCTGGCATGTACCTAAAAGGCCATCATCTAATTTCAAGAATGAGAAAGCACCTTTGGGACTAAGCTAATACAAGGTGAGTCATATTAAAGTAATGATTCTTCTACCTTCTGTGCGTCAGAATTAACCTGTGGTGTTTTCATTAAAAATATAGATGGTCATCCCATCCAGAGATTCCAATTCAGCAGGCTGCAGGTAGAACCCCAGCATGTGTGTTTTAAAAGCTCTCCAGTGCTGTTTAGGTCATATTTCTACATGTAATACATAATATATTTATGAAAGTGCTACTAAAATTCCCACAAGCTTTGTAATACTATTGTGTGGCTGCTTTTGCAACATCAAATAACATTAAGGACCAATACTGATGAAACTGGCAACAGCAAGAAGCTACTGGAGTCAAGCACTTAGCTAAAGCCATTTCCTGTGCTCCTTCCAGACAGGTTTTGCAAAGTGCACAATGGAGGTAACTCCTATATCCTTCTTCCTTTGGTTCTCATGGAAAGCATTTATACTTAGAAAGGAAACAGCTTAGTGGTTACAAGCTAAACTCTGAAATCAGACTGCACAAGTTCGAAATCCAGCTCTCTTGTTATTAGTTACAGAAACATAAGCAAAGCACTTCCCAAGCCTAAGAATCTTTCCTTTTCCACCTAACAAGTCAAAATATACCTACTCATTTAGTTAGTAGGACCAGTCCTGTAATGTATGGAAAGTACTTAGCATACAGAAAAGCCAAGCTTTTTATTGCAGTCAACTTCTTGCCTTTTCCAGTGATTTGGCTATATTGGTGGATCACCCATATGCAAGCCTTTCATTTTTCTTTTAATATTTCTTTGCTTTTCTTTTGAGACAGGGTCTCACTCTGCTTCCCATGATAGAGTGGCATAATCATAGTTCACTGCAGCCTCAAATTCCAGGGCTCAAATAATCCTCCTACCTTGGCATCCCTAAGAGATTACAGGCTGGGAACACCCAGACAAGCCTTCCTTCCAACAATGAAAACATGTAGGCTGGGCACCATGGCTCACACCTGGTGGTAATCCCAGCACGTTAAAAGGCCAAGGATTGAGCCCAGGAGTTTCAGACCAGCCTGAGCAACACAGTGAGACTCTGTTTTTTTGTTTGTTTGTTTGTTTTAATAAAAATAATTAAAACAACAACAAAAATATCCAAATGCTACCTAAAAAGTTAGCCCTTGGCTGGGCACAGTGGCTCACACTTGTAATCCTAGCACTTCTGGAGGCTGAGGCAGGTGGATCAGGAGATAGAGACCATCCTGGCTAATACGGTGAAACCTCCTCTCTACTGAAAATACGAACAATTAGCCAGGCATGATGGCACGTCCCTGTAGTCCCAGCTACTTGGGAGGCTGAGGGAGGAGAATCACTTGAACTGGGAGGCAGAGGGTGCAGTGAGCCGAGACTGCACCACTATACTCCAGCCTGGGTGACAGAGCTAGACTCCGTCTGAAGAAAAAAAAAAGGACCAAAAAAACGTTAATCCTCTACTTCTCCATGTATACAGGTTTCCAAATCAAATCAAGTAAAGGTATCCTAATCTCTCACCTGTCAGACTCTTCAATCCTTCTGTGAAAAGCGACTGGAATTCTGGAGACTGCAACTTCATTGTAAATAGATACTGCTTCAGAAGGCACAGCCTACTCCACCTACAGCTCAGTACTGGCTTGTGCCAACGATACAAGCACCTCAGCATCTGGAGAGGCAGTCACCAACTATACATCTACAAGGCAAACACAAAGACACACCAATGAAATTTCAAAGTGAAGGAAAATAAAGGGACACATTGCAACTTTATCAACACAGAAATTCACCTCTGGTTCAGATGAAAAACTGAAAAAGGTGTCAGTCTGAGGGATCATTAAGACTAGATCTATGTATCTACCTGGTTTTGTTCTCCATAAGCACTTGCTGTGGCAGGCCAGGTCTCACTAAGGCAGGCCTCCATCACAACTGTTTCAGGACTGACTGACTGGCTGAGTAAATCGAAAGCTGAAAGAGCCAGTCAGTTCCCTTAAACAAAGGCTGGAAGGTAACAAAAGCCCAACCAAGAGTTTTGCCTAAGCCTTTCCTGAGACTTGAAGCATGATAACCAAGGAATTTTTTTTTTTTTTTTTTTTTTTTGAGATGGGGTCTGGCTCTGTCACCCAGGCTGGACTGCAGTGGCACGATCTCAGCTCACTGCAACCTCCGCCTCCCGGGTTCAAGCTATTCTTCTGCCTCAGCCTCCCCAGTAGTGGGGATTACAGGTGCAGGCCACCACACCTGGCTGATTTTTTTTATAGTTTTTTGGTAGAGACCGAGTTTCACCATGTTGGCCAGGCTAATCTGTATCTCCTGACCTCAAGTGATCTACCCGCCTCAGCCTCCCAAAGTGCTGAGATTACAGGTGTGAACCACGGCCCCTGGCCACAAAGGAACTCTTAACAGGACCCATTTAGTATTAAACAAGTCTTACTGGGGGTCTGACAAAGCTCTCCAGGCCTCCACAAACAAGTTTACTGGGGGTCTGAGGGAACTCCCCAAACCTTCATGTTTAACAGGAGAGAAGATAAGTGTAATCACCCTAGCACCTGGACCCATTTAGATTAAGTAAATTTACTGAGGCTCCAGAGGAAGGTCTTCAGGATTCAGATCTTAGTTACAGATCTAAAGTCAATCACTTAAGTCTCTAGATGAATGCACACTTACACGTAAACATATAGCTTAGAAGGTATATAGGCTCTGGAAAACTTTTTAATTGATCCAGTCTGGTGATATTTTCCAGGCCTTCTCTCTGTACAGAGGTACAGAAGTAAACTCCCTTCTTTTCCAGTTTATCTGCATCTAGTTATTGGGCGGCGAGAATAAGCAGCCGACCCTTGGTTTGGTCCAGGAGCACTTCACTCGCAAGCCACATAGTACTGTGATGACACTCTCCCCAGACCAGGGCTTCAGTGTGTGAGGGGTGCGGGGTTCTAGAAACTCTATCCAGTAGACCAGCAACAACTGGTCTGCAGAACTCGTCAGTCACAGGTGGGTATCACCCTATTTACGCACCTGCACTCGAGAATTCCTAACTCTGGGATAGCTCCTAGGAAGTGTACTTTGATGAATTAGCTTAGCTGCCCCCATTTTCCTCATTCTTTTCCTGCCATCTTGCAATCTCCTCAGATTGCCAGCACACCCCTGCCTTCCCTTCTCCATATCACCCTCGTTCTCCCCGTACGGGGAGGCGGCAGCAGCTCTCGAGAAACCCCAGTGTAAACTTCCAGAGAAAAGCCATTCCATTCCGCGGAAGCGGGATGGAGGTGCGGCGCTTCCCAGCAGGCCAAGTGGGATAGAAAGAGCGACTCAGTTTCCTTGCACCTCCGCCTCAACTTAGGAAAACGCGCTGGGAACCCTGGCCCTGAAAAGGCGCGTCCGGCCCCGGAAGCCAGCGCTGGCGACAAGGCCCAGTGAGAAAGCGCCTCAGGGCCGCCCGCGCTGAGGAGAAAATGCCGAAGGAAACCAGGGAATCCGCCCCTGCGGTCGGCAGAGACATGACCTCCGGGTCAAGGCTCTTTTGCCCAGTGTTGAGGAGGCCTCTCGCCACGTCCCGCTCCCGCCTTCCTCGAGGACCCGAGGCGCGGCACACCCGGCAGGCAGCGGGAGAGAATCCTTGGTGCGACCGACGCTGTCCTTCCGAGCACTACACGCCTGCTTACCGGCCCCGTTGCTGCCGCCGCCGTCGTCACCGCCACGCGCACTTCCGGGATGGTGAACGCGGTGACGTCACCGGCGCACATCGGTTGGCAGCGAATAGGAAGTCGCGGCGGGGAGTGGGCGGGACGCGGCGGGGGCGATCCGAAGGGCTTCACGCTCCCCTCGCCCTTCTCCACCAGGCAGCGAAGGTCAGAACCGGTTTTCTCCGCCCCGCCGAGGCACACCTGGGCGAAGCGGAGCCCTCGGGGGCCTGGAGGAAACCCGCGCGCGTTTGTTTAATCATGCGCCTCTCAGCGCACCTCTGGTTGGCCCTGAGCTAGTCAGACGCCCGTCTGCATGGCACGCCTGTGCCATCTGGGACAACTGGCAGGTAGCTGTCTTCCTTTGCAAAACGAGACTGTTAACAAAACCTTCCCCAGGACATTGCCAGGAGTCAATGTCGAGTTCCTTCCCGGAACCGACGGAATTCGGCAAATGTTAACTTATTCTTGCTTGACTATTCTGTACTCTAATCTCTGCATAGGGTCAAGTCCACAGTTGACAGTCACACGCATTCTAAATGTAAGCCCTCTGGTCCTATGAAATTACTGGGCATATTTTATTTTCTTACCTGGTTTGTGTAACCATTGGCCTCCTTGGCCTGGAGGCTTTGCAGCTGTAAAGTGGGGAACTTAGATTTGATTCAGTTCATTAATTTTTTTTTAGAGAAGGGAAGAGCAAAGAGAGTGGCAAAGGAGTGGGAATACAGCCATTAAGCCCTTAAAGTAGGAAAATGTGTAGTCTTTTAAGTATAACTATACATCACTTAGCTTTCCCCCAAATTTTCCTAGAAAAATGCATGTGCCTGTTACTTCTGTTCTTTTGCCCTCCCCACACACCTACCTGTTCTTCCCAAACTTTTCAGCCCCACTCTCTGTAGACACTCTATAATGTAAAAAGTAAAATGTCCAATTACCACAGCTTTTCAGGGTGTGGAGTATCCTGCATTTAGAAGCACAGGACTCGCTTTCCAAATTGACATTCAGAGATTTAATCCAGTGGCTTAACAGAGCAAGGAAAGCCCCAAATCACCCTTTCAGGCTTATCTCCTATTTCTCACCACCATGACTCTAGACAAACTGGACCAAAGCCTTCGTTGCTGTACCCAACTAGAATAGTTTCTCCAAGTCACCATCTATGAAGGCAACGCTAATTACAACTGTCATGATAACATATTTCGTGCCATTTACCGTGCTGGACACCCTCAAATAACCAATTTCTGTCCATGTAAATATATAGTTTGTATATACATGTGTATACACAGTTGTCCTTCCGTATACATGGGGAAATGGTTTCAGAAAGCCACCCCAACCAATGTTCAAGTTCTTTATATAAAATGGCATAGTATTTGCACATAGCCTATCCACATTGACTAGTATACTTTAATTTCTAGATTACTTATAATACCTTGATATAATGTAAATGCTATGTAAACAGTCGTTATGCTATATTGCTTCTTTGTATTTTTAAATTGCTATTTATTTTATTTATTTATTTTTGATATGGAATTTCATCACTCTGTCGCCCTGACTGGAGTGCAGTGGCACCATCTGGGCTCATTGCAGCCTCTGCCTCAGCCTTTCAAGTAGCTGGGATTGCAGGCACCCACCACTACACCCACCTAATCTTTGTATTTTTAGTAGAGATGGGGTTTCACCACGTTGGCCAGGCTAATCTCAAACTGCTGACCTCAGGTCCACCCACCTTTGCCTCCCAAAGTGCTAGGATTACAGACGTGAGCCACAGTGCCTAGTCTTACTTAACATTTTTGATCTGTAGTGGTTGAATCCACTGATGCAAAACCCATGGCTATGGAAGGTCAACTGGAGAGAGAGAGAGAAGAAAGGGAGAGAATTCCTACTATACTGGCTAAGAAAATGAAATAAAAATAGGGATATTACTACAGATCATATAGACATTAGCAGAAGATATTATGAATAATTTCATGCCAATTAATTTGACAATGTAGATGAAATGCACCAATTCTATAAAAAAGACAATTTGTCATAACTGAAATAGGGTAAAATTTAAAAATTGGAATAGCTCTTCATTTTTAAAGAAATTGAATGTTGTTCAACAGACTTCCCACAAAAGTAATTCCAGGCCCAGGTGGGTTTCAATGATCAAATTTATCAAACACATAAGGAAGAATGAACTCCAATCTTGTGCAAAATTTGCTTAAAAAATAGAAGAGGAAACAGTTTTCCCCTTATTCTGAGACCACTGTAACCCAAATAACATAACATCAACACTACAAAAAAATTAATGTACAGCTTAATAGACTACGTGAACATAGAAACAAAAAAACTTTAATAAAATGTCAGCAAATTGAATCCATCAGTATATAGAAAGATAATACATCGTGACCAATTTGGGTTTATCCCAAATGCAAGGAATGCAAGGTGAATTTAATGATCTAAAAACCAATCAATGTAATTCACCATATTAACAGGCTGAAAAAGAAAAACTATCATCATCCCGATAAATGCAGAAAGACCACTTAAAATTCAATACCTACTCGTAAAAACTGCCAAAAAAATCTAGAAGAGACTTCCTCAATATGGTAAAGGGCATCCATGAAAAATCTATAGGCAATATCAGATTTTACGTTAATATATTGAACACGCTTACCCTCATATCAAGAACAAGGCAAGGATGCCCCATCTTACCACTTCTTTTTAACATTTGTCTATAGTTTATAAACATTAATAAAGCAAGAAAAAGATATGAAAAGTGTAACAATTCAGAAGGAAGTAAAATTGTCCCTATTTTCAGATGGCATGATGGTGGTTTACGCATAATTGACAAAACTACCAGAACTAACAAATTTAGGAAGGTCTCAGGATACCAGGTTAATATACATAAATCAATTCTGTTTTTATATACTAGCAGCAAAAATGTAGTATGTAAAAATATATATCATATTTGAAGAAGTGTAATAAGAGAAGCTATATAGTTAGCAACCAAACATATGTAAAGATATACAGCATCATCAATCACTAAGAGGCCAGATATGATAGCTCTTGCCTGTGATCCCAACACTTTGGGAGGTTAAAGTGGAAGGAATGCTTGAGCCCAGGTGTTTGAGATCAGCCTGGGAAATATAGTGAGATCCCTTCTCTGTATTTTTTTAATAGCCAGTGTTGGTGTTGTGTGCCTGTATTCCCAGTTACTCAGGAGGCTGAGGTGGGAGAAACATTTTGATCCCAGGAAGTTCAGGCTGTATTGAACTATGATTGCACCACTGCATTCCAGCCTAGACAACACAGTGAGACCTTGTCTAAAATAAAATAAAATGCAATATAATGTAAATATATATATTTTATATATATATATATATATAAAATAAAATCCCTAGTGAAATACAAATTACACAACTTTTTTTGTGAGAGGGAGTCTCACTCTGTCACCCAGGCTGGAGTGCCATAGTGTGGTCTCGGCTCACTGAAACTTCTGCCTTCCAGGTTCAAGCCATTCTCCTGCCTCAGCCTCCCAAGTAGCCAGGATTACAGGCACGTGCCACCACACTTGGCTAATTTTTCTATTTTTAGTAGAGACGAAGTTTCACTGTGTTGGCCAGGCTGGCCTCCAAGTCTTGACCTGGCGATCCACCCGCCTCAGCCTCCCAAAGTGCTGTGATTACAGGCGTGAGCCACCGCACCTGTCCGACAATGAGATACCTTTACATACCCATTAGAATGTCTAAAATTGAAACACCTAGAAATATCAAGTGCTGATGAGGAGGAAGAGCAACTGAGACTCTCATACACTGTGGGTGGCAATACAAACTGGTCCAGCCACTTTGGTAAACGGTTTAATGGTGTCTGGTAAAACTAGGTATACGTTTACCTTATGGCCCAGCAATTCTATCCCTGGATACTTACCTTAGAGAAATAAAAACTTATGTTCACACTAAAAAGTGTATATGAATGGTGTGCTCACTTTATTTATAATTATTCCAAACTAAAAGTAACCCAGATTTCTTTCAGCAGATGAATGGATAAGCAACCTGGAGTGTATCCATACAATGGAATGCTATTAAACAAGATGAAGGAACAAACTGCTGATACACACAGCAACACATCGGACTCTCAAGTGAAGAAAGCCACATTCAAGAGACTGCATGTAATAGACAGAATTCATATGACATCCAGAAAAGGCAAAATAGAGACAAAATATAGATCACTTCTTGCCATGGGATCAAGATGGGAGGAGGTATTTACTACAAAAGTGCATGAGAAAATTCTGAGAGGAGAAAAAAGTAATAGAATTGTTCTGTGTTTTGATTATAGTGGTGATTAAGTAACCGTGTGTTTGCCATAATGCGTAGAACAGTATTGTTTTAGCCCATTCTCACACTGCTGTAAAGCAACACTTGAGACTGGGCAATTTATAAAGAAAAGAGGCTGTACAGGAAGCATGGCTGGAGACGCCTCAGGAAACTTACAATCATGGTGGAAGGCGAAGGGGAAGTAGGCTCCTCTTAAATGGCCAGAGCAGGAAAAAGGGGTGATGGGGAGGTACTACACACTTTTAAACTACCAGATCTCACTACAACTTACTCACTATCAGGAGAACAACACCAATGGGGAAATCCCAGTGTTCACCATGATCCAGTCACTTCCCACCAGGCCCTACCTCCAACATTGGAGATTACCATTTGATGAGAGATTTGAACGGGGACACAGACCCAAACCACACCAAGTACATTGAAAAGATAAACGTTCCTGCTTGTAAATTATATCTCAATGAACCTTCCCCCCAAAGCAATCACACTTTTATATATTAGCAAAAAAAAAAGTGGAACATGAAACTTAATTCAAGTGTTGAAACATGTACATATGAAAGCAGGACTGAGAACTTTGAGGCCATTAAACTAAAGGGGGAAAGAACTCTGAACAGAATGCCCAGTTCAACCCTTAGGATACTGTGAGAACAACCAAAGCAATCTCAAATTCCTCTCCTCCATACCAGATACTTTCTATTATCTCTTAATATAGATCCACCCTAAGGGAAATAAAACTTTATCTGCAAAGGAACTGACATTTACTGCACAGAAATCCTACTGGAAATTTTCTCTTTCTATAGGGCATACCCAAAAGTAAATACCATAGACAGGGAGTTCTGCTAGCATCTGGCAAGTTTATACCATTCTATGGAAACACCACAGTCATGAATATTATTCTTCA